TTTGGGTCAATTTCTGGGTTCTCTGTTCTGTTCCACTGATCTATATGCCTGTTCTTGTGCCTTGGGTTGTAGCCTTCAGCGGAATGAAAAACTCACTCAGATGTTCAGCATAAGAGGATTTCCAGGGTCGGGGGATAGGTGCTGGTTGTTAATGAGCCTCAATTTGCATTTCTCTGAACCAGTTGGGTGGGGTTAAATCTCCGAGGGAGGGGCTGCTGCTTCTCCCCAGAGCTTGGGGAAGGAGCAAGATGGTAACTGTCCTGTGTAGCCGCAACTCAGCAAAAATTCTGAGTGCCTTCCAAATCCCGAGTGTCCCCACACAGTTCCAGTCCAGTCTGCCATCCCTCTGCCAGAGCCCAAGGTGAGTGGCTGTAGCTAATTTAGTGCTCTGTCTTAGCCCTCTGCACTGTGAGGCTGGCTTGGGATTTTAAACCCAAGAGAGCTGCTCACAGCTAAATCTGTTGCTGTACGTGGGCTCCCAGTCTGCCATCTCGCACCTCCAGAGACCTACCAGGCTCGATTCATTGTCCTTGTTTCCTGTCCCTGGTTATATGATCCTCTCCAGCTGCTTTTCTGTTGCTTTTCCCGACGATTTGTCTTTATTTCAGTTGTAATTCCAGTTTGATCCTGGAAGGTGGTCTGTGTAGCTTCTGTTCATTCCACAGCCATTTTGGAATCTCCCCTCTCTCCCTTTTTCTCCCTCTCTCCCACTCTGTCTAAAGATAAATAGAAAAATATACTTAGGTGAGGATTAAAAAAAAAACAAAAAACAAACACCCTTTAACATCTCTTATAATATTGGTTTGGTGGTAATGAACTGCTTTAGCTTCTTCTTGTCTGGGACGCTCATTATTTCTCTTTCAATTTTAAATGATAGTCTTGCTTGGTAAAGTAGTCTTGATTGGAGGTCTTTGCTTTTCATCACTTTGAATATTGTATGCCAATCTCTTCTGGTCTGAAATGTTTCAATTAAGAAATCAGCTGACAGTCTTACGGGAGCTACCTTAAAGGTAACTAACTGTCTTTCTCTTGCTGCTTTTAAGATTCTCTCTTTATCTTTAACGTTGCCATTTTAATTATGATGTGTCTTGGTGTGGGCCTTTGAGGGGTTCATCTTCTTTGAGAATCTCTGTGCTTCCTGGTCTTTGGTGTCTTTTTTCTTCACCAGGTGAGGAAAGTTTTCAGTCAACACCCCAGGCCCAGGCAGCTGATTCCTTGGCAGAATGTGAGCTCCATAGCCCTGGGTCACAGAAGGTCATGAGGATGGGGCTATTGTATTCCCCCAGGATGATGCAGTATGGAGGGGTGTGCTCCACCCAAGAAAGATGGCCTTAGTGGCATGGGAGAGTGACTCAACAGAGGTACCCTGGCAGCTGTCTGTTCAGCATTCTCCCCAGAGGCAAACAACTCAATTTCTACTCACACAACTCTAGAATGCTCAAGCAGACCTCTCTCCATGGGAGCCCATAGTGAGTGGCTGTGAAAAAGATTTTGGGTGTTGGTCCTTCGAGAGCGCACCTGGGTTTTCCAGCAGATTCTCGTCTCTCCCTGGTAGACAGAATCCATTTTGATTTCACAGCCAAATGTTATGTGGGCTCCTCTTCCTGGCTCTTATGCTAAGGTATGGGGACCCTGCATGAGGTTGAGATGCTGTGTTCCTCCTTTGTGAACCTTTGTGCTAAGATATGCCTTTGGGTCACCTCCACTGCACATGGGTGTGAGGCCAGCCCTTTTCGCATCTCCACCCTTTCTACTAGTCTCAATGTGAATTCTTCTATAAATCCTTGGTTATAAGATTTATGTTCTGCTAGTTTTCAGTTGATTATTCAGATTGAAAGTTCATGTGTGTGTGTGTGTGTGTGTGTGTGTGTGTGTGTGTTTGAGAGAGAGAGAGGGAGAGAATGAGAATGATGAGAGATAGAAATATGATCGACTACCTCCTACATACTCCTACTGGCTACTGGGGATCAACCTTGAAACTGGGTATGAGCCCTGAACCCTAGAAATCAAACTTTTGACCTTTTGGTACATAGGATGATGCTCAGCCAATTAAATCACACCAGCCAGGGCAATTGTTTTATATTTTAGTTGTAATTCCATTTGATCCTGGGATATGGTGAGTGTAACTTCCACAACCATTGCAACCATTCTGGATCTGCCTTCCTGCAAAATTTTTCTATCAAGAGCAGAGAATGAATCTTTGCAGGCCACTTACTATATTATCTTTGTGTGCACTAAACACCTTCATGTTTGTGGGGCAGGCGTGGGGGTGAGGAGGCAGTCAAAGACAACATGCAAATGGATGGGAGACCAGATTGGGAAACTATCACAAATTGCTGAGCCTGTATTTACATTGTCCCAGATGTGATGCCCTGTAACCTAGAGAATTATCTCCCAAGGTTACTCCAGTGTGTGCAGAAGAGCCAGAAACATGCCCTATTTTGCCTGTGGCTTCTGGGTCGAGGTAATGTGAGAGGATGTGGGTCCCACAAGTAAGGGCCACTGCTCCCCTGCTCTTTGTAGACTGGATTCCTTGGTTCAACGGGGTCATGAGAGACACTGCATGAAACCACAGATGTAGTTTAGATAACTGCTGGTGCATTTGGGGTGTCAAGATCAGGCCACTTGCTTCTATATCTCATTTGTTCCCTGTGACACCACTCATTTCAGTGCCTGAAGAATCACTTTAATCTTATGACCACTGGGCATATCTGACCTAATGATATTGATGGGCAAGTCTGATCATCCATAACCAGATGCCTTATCTCTACCAGACCCCAACACTTTAACAGGTGCTTCTTTAAATGGTGTGGATTTCCCTGCTGCAGGTGATATGGTCTTACTTCTGAACACTAGGGATCTGTGTTGTGATTCTCCAGTAGGGATGCCATGAAGTCCCCACAGTACTTTGTCCTACCACAGATACTGCAAACATCATAGGTCCATTCAGTCTAATGACTCAAAAACAAGGTCCATCCACATGTATCCATTCACATATTGTCTATGATTCCTATCCTGTCATGTTCATACAGCAGTTCGGAGTAGCTGAAATAGACTGGTCTACAAAGCCTAAAATATTTAATATATGCCTATTTATATAAAGTCTTTGGATCAGGCTGGCAACTAAATACCGATAAGAAATGATCACACCCCTACAGTCTTAAAGAGCTTTTAATGTTGGTACTCTTCTTTGTTCTTTTATCCAAGATAAGATGCAGTTTTAATATTCCATTTGGAAGTAACAAATGACAGTTTCATAAGGATGCACTGAAATTTCTCTACTGTGTGGCCCTCAACCAACAAGTAACTCACTAACTACAATAATTTTCTATTCTTGGTACAAACCACTGTGGGGTTGTGCAACTAAATGACATCACTGTGATCAGGACCTGGGACAGGTGTCTATTGCCTAGGCCCCAAGACCATGCACCACGTTGATAACAGGGCCCATGATGATACATCTGATCTCTTGGGGTGATGCTAACTCACACAGTAGGTCCAATATGAATATCTGGGTAGTTTCTGTTTCCCAGTGCACACGTACCTGAGTCAGTGCCCATATGGTGCTTTGGGAAAGGCCAGAAGGAATCACTGCACATGTTGTCAGTTGGAAGGGTCCCTCCTCATTAAACCTGGCCTCTCCTTGTAGGAATGCGATCCAGGTCTGAGAAGCGCCTCAGTTCTGGAAACTGGCAAAGGATCCGGCCTCCTTTAGCCTCCTAATCATCCATAATTCTGTTTTGACTTTGTTTGTTTTTATGTTTTAAATCCAGCACTTTCTGGATAGGCTGTCCATCTGTTTTACCTCTAAAACCACTGTGTGCTATGAGCCAAGGGGCAGTGTTCTGTGGGCAAGGCCCGTTGTTGGCATCGTTCCAATAAGGGCACTCTGCTGGCTGTGACAGGGGACAGCCTATATCTCAATGTATTGCTTCAGGGTTTCATCTCCATTACTCCCGGCAGCCAGTTTCTGGAATGTCACCTTCACTTGCCAATCCCTGTCCTCAGAGATGCCAGCCTGAGACTCCTGACAATGGTGTTGCTCGTCTCACTCCTGGGGAGGAAAAATTTTCCTCTACCCTTCTAGGTTCTTCTGGCTGGTCTAATGGTTTTACTAATATGAGGCAGATTATCAGAAAAAAAAACAATTTTAGTGTGGTACTTATGGAAGGTCATAGAAATATGAGATTCTCTGCAGTGACCAAAGTAGGCAGACTTCATACCAGTGCCTTTTAAATAAATTTGTGAAGAATTGACAAAGGCATTTGGGCATTCATTTACAAATGAAGTAAGAAGTTTTGTTTATACAGCCTTCTTAGCTCTAAAATCTCCATCTCTGGTGCTAAGAATGTCTCTCTACCTCCTGGTACAGAGAGTCTTTTTGACAAGGGAGATTTATTTCCTGCTTTTAGAGAGGAAAAGGAGGCACAGAGCATCCTTCTTGCACCGGTGGTTTCTTAAGTAACTTTAATTAGAAATAATCAACATGCCAACGTGGCACATTTGAAGATGGCTGACCTTGAACCCCATCGTCACCCTGCATTCTCTATGAGTTCGATAGCAAAGAGTCCTTCTGGCTTTCCCTTGAGCATAGTTGATGAGCATTTTCTGGTTCCTCTGTCTGTTCATGTGTATCCATGCTGACACGTGAATTTCTCTGAGTCTTTAATCCCTCCCTGTAGTATCTGTGTTGGAAGCTCCTAATACTCTCCCATGCAGTACAGCCATCCCTTTCCCCAAACTCCCAACACCCATCCTAGGAGCAGGTGGGCACCGTCTCCCAGGGCCATGCTGAATCCTGTGACCTGCAGTTGCCAACTCCCCTTCTCCAACATTGGCCCATCTAACCCTGCCCACCTCATGCAGCTTCCTCAGAAGCAGCCCCTACACACTCTAGCTTCTCCACAAGGGCGTGGGGCTGGTTTCTGACAGTTCTCGGGCATCCAGACCGTTTTCCCCAGCCAGTCTGGCACATCCCTGGAGTGCTTATGGGCTGAGTGATGCCGGGTATTGCGCTGGTGGACAGAGGGGGCATAGCTGGAGATGTGTGGTTTCCTGCCAAACAGAGGCCTCCTGGTCCTCCTCAAGCAAGGGAGGGGCAGTAGCCTTCACCTGGTGATACGAGGGGCTGGGCAGGGTCAGTTCTTGCTCTGTCAGCCAGGCCATCAAGGGTATTCATTTGCGGTCACAGACATGGAGGAGAGGTGCTTATGGGCACGTTTCTTCCAACCCAACCTTCATCTGCATTTTTCCTTCACAGGTGCTAGCTCTCTTGACTATAAATTCACCATCACCCCTAACGGACAACCGTGGTATAAACTTCAAGGCCTGGTCAATGGAAACATATTTTTTAATTGTACCAGATGTAGTGAGAAGGTTGGATTCATCAGTATTCAGGGGATGATGGACAATGCCACACCGGCCTGGGATCAGCAGAGGGACACTCTGAAATATGTGATGGAAGAGCTCAAGATGAAACTGCTTGACATTAAAGCAAAGATTATTACAACCTGCGGTAAGTTTGCAACACCTAGGGTTCACGTAGAACAGTGTTGTAGGGTTTAGGAACAACTGTGTTCATGTAAATATTGAAAGTAGGCCCCACCCAAGAGGCCCAGCAGCCAGGGTAGGACACAGAGGTCAGAGCAGGACCAGGAGATAGGAAGGGAGCAGAGGGCTGGATACCGGGAAGGGATAAAGGATCTGTCAAGATCAGAGACTGACCGCTTTCCCATGTGGGGGGTGGGGACAGAACCTCTCTCACTACAGGGCAGCATGATGTGTAAGCAGGAATCCAGTGGACACAGCAGTGCATCCTGGGAGTTTGGATTTGATGGACAGATAGCTCTCTACTTGGAATCCCAGAGCAGAAGGTGGACAGTGTTTCATGGTGAAGGAAGACTGTTAAAGGAGACATTGGCGAGTGACAGAGCTATGACCGATCTGCTTGTTAGGACCTCAGCTGGAGACTACGGGGAGTGGCTTAAACATGTTTTGTGTCCCCAGGATGGAGTTCTGAGCACAGCAGGTAACTCAGCATGAAGAATGATGTTGTAGGTCTCTTGGACTGGCATTGATATTGTGTGTGTGTCTGTGTGTTGTGTGAGGTTGCAGAAAGTGATCCATCCCCAGGGTTGTGGGGGTTGGAGTATAATGGCCATAGGTATGTTGTGCTCCCTCCTTTTGTTTCTCATCTCCTCGCGTCTCTTCCTCACTGCACATAACCGTGCACACTCACCGTGGATTCTTGCTGACCACACATGAGGGCATCGTTCTGTTCTCACACCTGTGGCTTCACTGTTCTGTCCTCCCAGCATCACTTTTCTCCTTCGTCTCACCTGCTCTATGTCTGGAAACCCTTCAACACCACCTTGAATCAGCTCCTGGGGACCTCTCTGCTGCCTTCCTCATGTGTCTCCTCCTCTTCTGTCACAGCAGGAGTGACAAGGTATATGGAACCCGTGCTGTCCCCATTAGCTATGTGATCCCCCAGGGGACAGGGCCCATCTCCTCTTTGTTCCACCCGGGGTCTGTCACAGTGGCTGCCACACGTAGGGGGTAGAAACAGTCTGCATTGCAGGAGAACTTGGGCAGAGGAGGGGAGGACGCGTCTCCTCAGAACTGGGTTCTGAGCAGATGTCACTCTTGTGTTTCCATCGCAGCTGCAGTGTCCAAGGCCACAAGGAAGACACCCATCACTGCGATCATCCCTGTGATCCTCGCCTGCTCGGTCACAGTTGGCATCCTGTGTGTGTCCTTACAGTCACAGGTACTGAGGGCAGAACTGAGTGGGCAGTGAGGGGCAGATGGCCTGAGTGAGGACAGGGAAAGGTGGATTCCCAGCCTGGCCCCTGTGCCCTCACTGAAGCTCCTCCTCCTGGAAACTAGTCCCGGAGACTCGTATTATTACTTGACAGCAGAAACTTGGACAGGCTCTGGCTCGGGTTCTGCTCTCTTCACTGTGACTGCCAGTGGGAAAGGAGGGGCCCCCCAAGGCTTGAGGCCTGTTGATGCTGAAGGGGTTCAGTGATTTCAGTGCGGGCTCAGACTCCCTGCTGGGAGAGTCTGTGGGCCCAGTGTGGGTGGGTGGGGCCAGCAGGCTCACAGCGCATGGGCAGTACTCACACTCAGGTGGGAGCAGCATGGTGGCTCCATGTGAGGTGTTCAGGGTCAGGGGAATAGCCAGGGGACTAAGAGGAGAGGGGCCTGGTCTCACCCAGGAAGAGCGGAGGAAGGCCTTTCAGCCCCAACTCACAAGGCTGGAGTTCACAGCTGTTTCCATGGAAATTTGCTTCAGTGACATCAGGTAAGGCAGCGGGCTAACTGTGGGGACTGTGCAGGACAAGGTTAGAGGAACCCAGTTCTCAGTGAACCCCTGGGATTCCTGGCCGAGCCCTGGTGCAGTCACCTGGCAGCCAGACTTCTGCCAACTCCAGATCCTGAGCCACTGAGCAGCCCCTGCCTTGCGCAGAGGTGACTGGGGGGCTGGGTGGGGCTCACCAGGAATGGATGGGACCATCATACTGACAGCTACATGTGTTAAGAGATAAGTGCCTGGGAGAGAAGGGAACAGAAGGATGTTTGTCTGCACCCTCCCCAAGGTGTCAGGTGTCAGGAAGGGTCCCCCTGTCCATCAGGGCTCCCAGCAGATCCTTTAGGAGAATCAGCACCTGAGTGAAGGGAGCAGATGGACTCATTACTCACTTTAGCTGTGAGCTCTAAAGGTCTGTAGCAGGACCTGGGTGACTGTGATGTGCGAAAGGTGGGCAGAGCTCGGTACAGGCTGCTGGTCCCAGGGCAGGGGTGGCAGCTTCAGGGACATACATGAGGCTGGTGAGGGCGGGGCTGAAGATGGGGAGTGACTGGGATGCTGTAGCCCCAGGAGAATTGACCCAGGATTCCCTCAGCCCTGGGACCAACACTCGCTCTTTCCTGCAGGCTGACGATGCCACCTAGAGGGCCAGATACCATGTCTGTCTTAGCAAATGTTCCTTCGATTGGCTGCTTCTGGATGACCTGCTGTTCATATTTGGACCATCTGGAGTTCAAACCTTCCAAGAGCAGAAACCACCATCATATCAGAGTGAGACAGTAGATGCAGCATCTCGGGTCCCTTATTGCATTTGCTGATTATCCTCTGCGGTGCCTTTTTAAAACATATCAGGTCACTTTCTCTAGTGCTAAGAGATGAATTCTACCTTGAAACTGTAATCGCTTCAATAAGAAATCTCAACCCAGAGAACATTTTTCATCTTCTCTGTACCTTCACCCTACATGCAGGTGCTATTGCCAAACCTCAGGGCTCTTCTGTGTCCTCAAAAACAATCATGTATTTTAAAATAACAAAGTAGATTTATGACAGTTCCCATTACTAACTTATAGCACTATAATGATATTCAAATAAATACCTTAATATTCTAATAACTTAATTGCTTTGGAGTTTTGGTTTTTTGTAGAGAATTTTTAGTTTATTTCAGCCAAACATGGCATGTACCACAGGAAGTTCTCTAATAGCCAAAGATTAACAAGTTATTTTTTTCTGTCTGTGAGGTTTTTGTTTGTGGTTTTTGTGTTTTTTGTTTGTTTGTTTGTTTTTGGCTTAATCCCTTAATCTTCTTCACCCTCCCCCCCAATGAACACCCTCCCTTTCCAACAGCTGTCCTTCTGTTCTCTGTATCCATGAGTCTGTCTTCACTTTGCCAGTTTATTTTCTTCTCTAGGTTCCACATATAAGTAAAATCATCTGGCACTTGTGTTTTTCTGACGGATTTAGTTCACTTAGCATAATGCTCTCCAGGTCTATCCTTGCTGTCACAAGAGGTAAGATATCCATTTTTACAACCAAATAGTATTCCATTCTGTAAATGTACCACAACTTTTTTATCCACTCATCTAAGATGGGCCCTTGGGCTGCTTTCAAATCTTGGCTGTTGTAAATAGAGCTGCAATGGATATAAGGGTGAATATATTCTTTCCAGTCAGTGTTTCAGGTTCCTTTGGATATATTCCAGAAGAGGAAACAGCGGGTCATAAGGCAAGTTCATTTTTAATTTTTGAGTTATAGAGATTTGCTTCATAACCCAGTAAAGAATTCATAGCATTTCACTGTCCCTCCATGACACAGGGTAAATACTACCAATGATTCTGCTAGAATTTCTTGTGGAAACAGAGATTTTAGGGTCACTGTTAAGTTAACAGGTATCTTATGTTGGTCTCAAACATTATCCTGTGCTGTGGATGCAAACAAATGTCTGGGACTTAAGCAATGAGACTCTTCTGAACTTGACCCGCCCCGCCCATCCCAGTGACTTCCTGTGACCCCAACTCACCTCCTTCAGTGAGAAGTGTCTTCACAGCAGGAACACCTCTGCCTCTCATGTTGCTCTATGTGCCCACTGACAAAGGACCAGTATTCAGAATATACAATGAACTCCTACAAATAAACGAGCATAAGTCTATTTCTCCTAAATTGGGGCAAATCTTTGAGCTATCCACATATGGTGAATAAGCCTGTAAAAAGATTAAATGTGCCCCCAAGTCATCACTATAACACAAACAGTAAACTCCCTGACACACCCATGACATTAACAAAAGGTCGATATCACCATAAGAAGTGGGGGACAGGAGGTGGAATGCCAGGCCTTCGCTTACATTGTGAGTGGGAGTATAATTAGATCATCTAATCACTCCTTTCCCTAAACTCTAGACAGTGGATGTGAGTTTCTCCTGCTACAGGTGTCCCGGTGTCAGTTCCAGGCTGGCCACGCGGACTAAAAAGCACGTGGGGATACGGTTGTTTATTCTAGTGTGTGTCACAGCAGAAATGAACACTAAGGTACCCTACTGAAGTAGAATAGGTGATTCAATGTTGTCTGAAGATTTCTGCGTCTCCCTGCTGGAGGCAAAATAATCTGAACTATCAAAAATGAGAGAAAGGATTGGCGAGAAGAGATTATCCAAAGAATACATATGCATATATGTATGATGCTTAGACACAGACAGTAGTGTGGTGAAGACCTGCGTGGAGGTGGGAGCGGGGTGGAAGGGGTCCACGGGGGAAATAAGGGGTGTCTGTAGTACCTTCAACAGTAACGATACATTTCTAAGAACGAAACCTCCGAGGCTGTCTCTCAGGAGATCCTAAGCCTTCCCCTCCCCCCGCCGTGGTTTGCTGGCCTCTCTCTCCTAAGCTCCAAGGGCCCCTCTTTTGCCTCTGTAACTTCTTTCCTGAGCTGCCCCTTCCACAGCCCACTTCTCCTTCCTCAGTGACTCCCAAATGAGCTTTCTCGTAGAGCTTGAAAAAAAATTAACCAAACTGTCTAAGAAAATACTCTTAGCCCTGGCCGGTTTGGCTCAGCGGTTAGAGCGTCGGCCTGCGGTCCAGAGAGACCCGGGTTCGGTTCCCGCTAAGGGCGCGTGCCTCGGTTGCAGTTTGTCCCCGGCCCTGGTCGGTTGTGCGGGTGGCAGCCACTCGATGTGTTCTTTTCACATCGATGTTTTTCTCTCTCTCTCTCTGTTCCTCTCTCTCCCTCCCACTCTACCTGAACAAAAAGATGGAAAAATGTCCTCGGGTGAGGATAAAAAAAAAAAAAAAAAAATACTCTTAAACTTTCATATATACATATATTTGAGGACTATGGGCTGACTTACAATAACATTAGCCACATGAGTCTAAATCTACCCACATATATTTTAAAAATTGACAGACCAACAGAAAGGGCAAGTAAAACCCATAACCCATATCTTCAGTATATCAAGGGAATGAAAAATACCTAAATTCATCAGTTACTTTGAGTCAAAAAAGCATTACCGGAACAACTGTTGAAACTTGAATGGGGTCTGAGGGTTGAACAGCTTAAGGGGTTGGTGTAAAATCAGTGTTGGTGGTTGCACTGATGTGATATTGGAGAGTGTCCTGGTTTGAAGGAGATACACACTAACATACATGGCATCAGACGACATCATGAAAAGTAGGGGACACCTATATGATAGTTTCCTTCATGGCTCAGGAAAAGAAGTTGTCTGTACAACTTCCGTACCTTTTGTGCTTGTTTGAGAAGGTGTTACCATTATTTAAAAAATGGAATTTAAGAAACACATGGTTTTCAGAATTTGATGCAAGAACGTAACTAGCTCACCAAATACAATACAGGTCCTGCTGTTTCTTCAAAGGTTGGTCATCCCCCCATGTACTCTTCTCACTCTTCCATGGTCAGCGCTGGCCTGGAATGGGAGGGGTGCACACTCTCTGTTACAGACCTGACCCTCACTGCGATGCTGAAGGCTTCATGTAACCAAACCAGAGAGAAGGGCTTTGCAGCTCTTCCGAGACAGATCCACCCTGCAAGTCAGGGGTGAGTGTGCGTGCGTGTGTGTGTGTGTGTGTGTGTGTAATCTTCCCTGTCCATTCCCTTCACCTCCTGAAATCTCCAATACCCTAAGGCCAATGATGGAGAGCAATCCCCTTCACTCAAAGTTCACCAACTTATCACATGTCTGCATGCTAAATGAACCATCTCCTCTCCCCTTCCTGTCTCATAACACCCTAGTCCACAGTCAGAACATCACACCTGCTGACAGGGGCTTGGATAACTGAGCTGCACATTTCACGTGGTTGTTGGAAATACAATGTGTTTCTTTGTGAACTTTGTCAAACAGAGTCTAATAATCTAACACTATTATTGTTAGATGCTCAATCAGATCATTTGAATGACCTCCGGGACCAGGAGCTGAGGGAGGATTCTCCTCACGTGTGGGTCTCACTATAAACATGACCACCTATGGCAAACTATCCTGACT